ATTTCGTTTTGATCTGTTTGCATCCGTTTGATCCAGTTTTGATCTGATCTTGTTCGTGCAACCCAAGACGCGTGTTGCGGTCAATCAATTGCGGTCAACCGTTCGTGGTCAACCAGATCTACATAAATTTTAAGCCGTAAGTTCTCTACGTCAAACCTTTAGATCCGCTGCGCATAGGTTTACGTTTGCTATTGAATTCGTGATTTGTACATAACGAGATCCTCACAGATCCCAACACTTGTGTCATTAATTATTATGATTTTAGCTTCCAACTATACTTCAAGTATCTAATTATGGGCCTACTTTTAATTTTTTACACGAGGTATTTTAGTTATCGCGCAAAATACATTGTTACGCTAATATGCATTCTCACAGGCATATTAGTGTCACTATAAAAAAATTGACATATTCCAACGAAAAATCTTTGATAATATATTTGAATAGGAATTCTTATGAATCATTCCAATGAAAATATTTCGTTGGAATGAATTTTCCATTAGAATTTTAGATGAAATTTGATGATTACAACGACTGTTTTTCAATGGTTTTTTACCATATCAATTTCTATTGGAATTTTATTTCCACCCATATCTCAGCCGTTGAAAAATCTATCTTTGGAATCGTCAAAATCCAACAGAAATTTCAATGAAAAACTCATTCCAACAAAATATTTTTATTTAAATTTTCGTTGATATTTCATCATTTTTTTATAGTGTGCCTCTCGTCTAACACTACTGTGCATTCATTAACGGAATGACATTTTAGTATTTTATGAATTTTTAATGTGCACTTTACTCATCTTATAAAAACACAAAATAAGTTTAAGAAAATGAAAGAAAAAGTAATTGCTACAAAGATGTTCAGCAACATTAAAGTAAAGGGACAAAAGGTGCATGTTAGTAATCTTTTGATGAATTTTATCCTCTAATATCTCTACCTACACATTTATTCCTATCTTCATCAAATCTATCTACACTTCATAAAATTCCTTCTGTTATTGAGAGGAAGTTAACGAAATTCGTCAGTAAAAAAATTGTCTACACCTTTCATCGAGGACCGAATTACCATGCAAAGTTAAATGTCTGGTCCCAATGCTCAAAGATTTTCCTCGACAAGAATTCAAAGAGATATCATTAGCCACATTATATTCACTTCATCCACTTTACAACCAATAGCAATAAACACAAGAGATAAATAAACCCAATAATCTTGTTAGATTAGGTGCTAAGCATGCTCCATCAAAGTTAAGCCAGATACATTATTAGTTATCCTTTCAAAACATAAGTCATGTTTTTAATCAAGTGAGAGGTTTCACGCAAATCGAGCCATCAAATTATAACAAACAATATTTCGCATATACAAACAAACATTAAACCAATGCACAATTTTCGACCAAATACCAAGACCATAAAATCAAATTAAAATGTGGCTCGCTATATGAAAGAGTGCGTATATGTGCCATCGACATTGGAAGAGGTGAAAGCTGAGCGCTTGATCTGCGGAATACGCCAAAGACCTTTTCAAAATTCTCTGTCAAAACGACTAGCCCGGTCCTATGATCAGTTGTTGGAGCATTGTTCTAATTATACTAACTTGGAGAAACCTCAAGACTGACTTTTTGCAGCTTGATCTAAGTAGAGAGAAGGGAAAGAAAGAAGACATAAGAAGTATGTCTCCCGGAGAGAAAGTCGGCACACAACGCGACACCAGTGGAGGATAGGGGTTAGAAAATGGAGCCGAGATTTGAGCGGTACACTCCGCTTACGGTTTCCAGAGGTTAGGTTTTTTAAGTAGTTAAAATGATGGGAAACAGTGGGATCTTTGACCGACCTAGGCCAATCCCAAAAAAATGTACTTATGGGTCGACCTAAGGCTTATTGCATGTATCATAGGAATTACACGCGCACAACAGATAATTGCAAGGAACTGAAGGATGAAATCAAGAGACTAGTTCGAGATGCCAGTCTTACGGAGTTCATCTTCCGAGATCGAGAGATTGAAAAGGTGAAGAAGAAAGGTGATAAGTCTGGATGAAATCAAGAGACTAGTTGGAGCTGCCAGTCTTACCGAAGTAAATATGCACCAAAATTTATCCCCAACCTTCAATGTGGTTTATCGATGTGGTTGTAGAAAGACCAAGTTAACTGAGAAATGCTTGGAACTTATTTTTTAGTATGTTATCCGAACATGATTTCCACGTGAATTACACAAATTATAAGATCTCTACATACCATGACTTCCTCCATAACCTCAAGTGTCCAGCACAAGATGTACATAAACGAATCTCAACAAGGCATTCTCTTTTTGTCGACAGCAGGACATAAATAAGGATTCAGATAATAAGGATTCCTTACAGATCCCCACAACAAAAAGATCACCATTACTGAGCAATTTGCAAACAGCTAGAAGCACAGATTTTCAACAAACAATTGACTAAACAGGTAATACAGTACATGCATCTATTCACCTTGTCCATTCAGCATAAACGAATCATGCCCGAAGATCACCACATGCGTGTGGACTTTTTAACAACGCATAAAAATAATGCTAAATAGCCCACCAATACTGATTACCAAGTATTAGTATAGAAGAGTCTACGTTACCGTCTTTTTTTTAAATTACTTTTTTCACACCACCTAGTACAACTACAAGTTTTTTCATCAACCATCAGAAAAATACAGCCTGCCCCTTGTCAAGGTCAAACAAATTAAAACACACAGACAAACACAAAAGCTACTACCATCAAAGGTTAGTGGATTACAACAGACACATTAAAATGACAAATTTCTTTTTGGATTTTTGTCGTCACAATTATCATTAGCAATCACCTTTCACCTCCGAGTGGGCCCCAGTCACGTCGATCAGTAGTAAGCTTGCTGGTAAGCGGGCGGCATCCCATAAGCCGGGAAGTTCACAGGCGAAACTGGGTATGATCCAACGATTGCAGGTGCAGGAGCCTCTGGTGAATAGGCGGCGAATGGTGGGCTCCTGTTATAGACAGCTGGCACAGCAGGGTAAGCTGGGACTGGGGAAGGGTATTGAGTGTGGGAAGGAGACCTGATATATGTCGGGGGAGATGGGAAGGACGAAACGTAGGCATTGGTTGAGCGGCCAGCCTTTGCTGGAGGCATCGGGCCCCCGTTGCTGGCCCGCGTACGTTTGGTTGCTGGGCTGGCGGGCCTCTTCTTCTCGATCTTGGCCTTCTCGAGCTGCTCAAGGCATTTCTTCAGGGTCTTGGGAGGGAACTCGGACTCCAGCTTGTATTCCTCGATGCACTTGAGGACGGCCTTGATGGCAGATTGCTCCTTCTTGGCGGCCATGTGCTGTGAGAGAAAAAATTATGAAAGAGGGTCAACTCCGGTGAGTGTGTTGTTTTGTAATAATCACAGCCAAGAATCATACTCGTCATTTAAACCAATCGGGTAAGCATTGAAGTGTCTAGTGAGTTGTAGCACATGTTTAGGTAGTGTTTGGAAGCACTTTTGATCTTAAAAGGTGATCTATCAGAGGAAAAACTAAGCATAGTTTGTGAATGAAGCTGGTGGTGTTAGCCAAGAAATGCTATCAAGTGAACCATTGAGACGATACAAGTTCTGAAGGGCTTGTTTGTCTGTAAAAGTCACGCACGAAGTAGAAACTACAACAACACACAACTCCCCAGGTTTTAGATTTTAATTTATTATGTGTAGAATCACAGAGATGCCATATGGAAACACAAAACTAGTTTTCTCTATCACGGTCTAAAAATCTCCTTTATTTTTTTCTTGTGCGTGTGCGGGTGTGCTGGCCAACGCTCCATGAACATAGAGAAAGAGGAACTGGAGTGGTAAAAGGAATGAGATGTTGCACAAATAAATATAAGAAACAATCGTGACATTGCAAAAGAATTTTGTGCCAAATGAAAATGGGTATAAAATCAGAAAACTAAAGAAATTAATATCAGGAATATAGAAGCCAAAGGCTCACCGCAGCACGGCCCGAACTGTTGGGATCCCCCAAAATGGATGTAGCCGCCTTCTTTGCATCTTTCAGAAAAGCTTTCAGCAGGGGAACAGGTGGGAATTTGTCGGCAAGGCCAACTTCATATGTAAAATGCACAGCATCAACCTGTTGTCCCCTTCCAATTAACTCCTCAATCATATCTGCACAGTTAGGCACAAGGTACTGAGACACCACTGCAACAAGCATGAATTCAAATGCACCAATTCATCATACAAATGTGTGTGTGTTTAATTTCCCCACCAATTTAAAATCTATAAAAATGATATACGGATTATATTTCCATGGCTCAACCAGAAAGGGTTCATCAGTTAAAACTTGTTTCGTGAGATCAACACATTTCTCAAGTAAAAAACTCAAAATAACAAGTACTCCATATTATGCTAACCATGGAAATGGTTATGTAAAACCTGTGTGATTCCTTATAGAGGTGAAACAGATGAACTACAACTTTCAACTCAGTGTCCTAGGCACAAGTAGTCCCAAATGTTTGACTTCAATTGCTCTACAACAATACCAACTCAAACAATTTCCAGAATTCAGTCTGCTCCACATGAATGCAGATTGTAGGCAGAAGTGACTAGTATCTTCAATGTACTTGCACTATGTCCCTCACATTGTTAAACCGAGCCACTTTACTGAAAAAATCATTTTAACTTTAACTGAAGTTCCTATGCAACCAAGTCAAATTTGTTAGAATACAAAAATGACCATTTCTGTTTGAGGCTAACACCACACGCAAATTGGCCAGCATCCGGCTTTCGCTGCAATATCATCTTAGGCCTTAACAAACAAATGTTGAACAAAGGCCAAATTCTAAAGAAAAACTCCACGAATTTCTAACGTTTTCTTCCTTTTACTCACCACAAGGTAATCACTCACTGCAAGAACTTTCTAAAAATAGAATTCCAACTTCAACAGTCAGAACATTTATAATATGTTCACACCTACAACTACTAATAAGTAATAACCCACAAGAACATAGCTAAGCTATATCTACAAGTTACTAAAAATAGGATGTGCGTGTGTGAAAAGAGAGAGATAGACTTTACCGGGCATCTTATCCCTGAGACCAAGAGAAACAGCGAGCTTGGGCATCTGCTTCCTCCAGGCAGAAGCCACCACGAGCTTTTTGTACAAGTCCACATCTTCCTCCTTCACAATCCCAAAGGTCACCAGATGCTGTAGAAAAGTATGAACATCGGGCGTCTTGACATTCTCGATCCCACCCCTCTCGTCCAGGCTCCTCTTCCACGTCTCAGCTATCTCCTCCGCCTTCCCTTTGATGCTCGGCGTCACCAGCATCCTTTCCTTCCCCAGCACCGGATCTACGATCGCCGGAATCAGGGATTCCAGCAGCAGCACGCACGCCCACCCCAAATCGCAGCCACTGTTGCTCGCCGCCACCGGAAAAACCTCCGAGATGGCCTCGAGAACGAACCTCGGGGGATCCACGCAGTCGGCCAGAGCCTTCGGCAGCTCCGATCTGAAAGACTCGATCTCCTTTTTACGGGAGGTCACGAAGATCCAGAACTCGCGCGCCGCCATCCGGTGGCAGAAGCTCTTCAGTTTCATCAGCAGGCCCTCCGAGTCGTCAACCTCCGGCTCCCCGGCGGCGTCCCGGGCAGCGACGGCGAAGGACGCCTTGGTCGACTTCTCGAGCGCCTCGAAGGCGATGGACATGGATTTGGAAATGGAGGACTCGCGGGAGTCGAGGGCCTGCAGAGACTGCTGGGTCTCGTTGTTGAGGGCCTGGAACTTGGCCTTGAGGGCATCGGATTTCTTGATGAGATCCTGCTCGAGGGTGGTGAAGTGGTCGGAGAGCTCTTTCCAGAGGAGTGTGCAGGTTGTCATAAGCGACGTCTGGCGCTGGAAATCGTCGAAACTCGGCGGCGGGGGAGGAGGATGAGTCAACTCGCCTGGATCGGGCAGCGAACCCATGGTTGACAGGAGTTTGAGTCAGATTACTCGGATTGGGGAAAATTAAACCCTAAGTCAAGTCTAGAGAGAGAAAGAGAGGAGTGAGAAAGTGGGGTTGGTGGGGAAGATAAAGCGAAGGTAACGTGAGGAGTGAGTGTAGAATGGAGAGTACTGAAATCGCTGATATGGACGTACAGGAGAGTGACACGTGGATTTTGTCTGCTAACGGTATGTGTGCGGTTACTTCTAAAAACTGGCTGCTAAAATTTCAATTTAAAGAATTGTTTTCTACATTTAAAATGTAAAAATAGTGTAAATCAGTAAACCCTCGTCTCTCATCCTTCTCGGTGCCTCTTCTCACTGGGGCAATCCGCACTGTTGCAGTGTCGCCTGTCACTGGTCGTCCAACTTGGCTCCCGTCGTTTTGTCGTCCCCTGAACTAGAGTAGCACTTCTCCGTTTTTCTCGCATAGCTACAATAGGGTTTTGTGCGATGTTCCGGCGTGTTCGACGACGAGTTTGGGTTGTTGACTCCGTTGGCTGCCTTGTGGTGGTCGGGATTGAGGTTGGTTTCTTTCTCCCCTCCTGTTTCCTTTCTTCCCTTGTGTTTTCCCTGGTATTAAGTGGGTGGGTTTTGTCGGTGGGTGTAGTCTCGGCTCTGGTCGTGTGTTGGCTTGTGGTTGCTCGCGGGTGTTGGGGATGGAGATAGGAGCGGGCCTTCGGCGTATAGTCCGGGGTCTTTTACTTGGGAGAGGGGCCTGGTTCGTTTGTTTCAGATCTAGTTAGGCGTAGAAATACTATAGTTTTTGGATCTGCGACTTGGGTCGTGTCTCTATCCGTGGGTTGGTTGCCCTCGGGTGTCGATTTCGTAGTGTTAGGGAAGAGTGGCTTGCGGCTGTGGGGAGGACTTTATTCTAGTATTTTTGTAATGTTGTTATTTCTAGGCTACCGTCATTACGACGTGTAGTCCTCTATTTGGATTCAGCTATATAGCTACTTAATTCGGCTATTACTAGCTGTTTTTAGGATTATAAATATGTGTTTATCTATAAATTCTGCGTTCTGAAAAAAAAAATGATATAAATTAGTGATATCAAAGTTCGAGATAAAATATTATATACGTTAATAAATGTTAATAATGCAATATGTTAAACAGTGTAAAGTATTTATTTATGTCATGTTTCTCAAAATCTTTTAATGCATCTCAACATTTCAACATAACTAGTTTTATCTCGTGCATTTGCACGAAAGCGATATAACAAAGGAGAACATAATAAAAAATACAGACAAAAATAAAAATCATAACTAAATCAATAAGAAAAAAAGATTTAAGAAAGTGAATCTAAATATTATCAAACACTTCTTTATATACAACATTTATGGTTTTCCAATCGTCATAATCCCCATCACCACAAATGATCATTATCTTTAAACTCCTCTGACTCGTGACTCTGGAAAGAGCTGCGTACAACTGTCCATGACTGAATACAAGGCTCTTCAGCAGTAAGGCGACGTGCGAAAGAGACTGACATTGACTCTTATTGATTGTTATAGCATATGAAACTATGAGAGAAAACTGCCAGAGTTGAAACTTGAACGGTACCCTCAAATCAGATGGTATGATTCTGAGCCTAGGAATAAGAACCTTATCACCAACTCTGGCACAGGTTAAACTTTTGCATCCGATGACATGACTGTTGAGCTTAGTAATAACTAAATGTGTACTGTTGCACAACCCCATGAAGTGATCAATATTTCTGAGCAGCATGACTGGAGTGCTAACCTTCAAGTGCAGTATATGATTAAAAAGTCCCTAGCACTTAATCCCCATTTAGAAATTTAAGAGAGTCATATCAAGCGTCTGACTTACAAGGTGTGTAAGAACTCAAATAATTTCTTCCCTTGGATGAGTTTAAAGAGCTCATGTACTCAGTAACGGACTCAACGGCATCAACTGTGGGAGCGAGTATGGCTTTGTACTTGAGATACTTAAGATTGTCGCTTGAACTCTTTAACATCGGGTAGGTACTCTAAACAATAGTAGCAATAAGATCCCCTTGTGATTTAGAAGAATATCGTCGGAATGTCTATATCGGCACTACCGTCATTCGATTCACCGACTATAGCGTCGCCAATGCTTGCACTGCAAGAAGCGCCTTAATTCATCATACTCATCACCCCCACCAAGGCTTCAGAGCCTAATATTCCGAGTCAGTCTCAGAACAACACAATCGCACCATGTATAATGGGCGGATGTTTAGGTATTAATTTTATTAAATAAGATATTTACGTTAAGTTGTCTTTATTTTTTAGATGTTCACAGAAATATATAATTTTAAATTCCATTATATTATACAACCATTAAATTTACATAAAAGTTTCATTTTGTTTATTATTGAGAATCAGTCAAATCATGTATATCGGCAGATGTATTGGGATTAATTGAGCCTGATTTGTGTTTCGCTAAGGGTGTAAATATCACCATTTTATTATAAATATATGTTTATATAATAATCATATTTTTTAGTACTAATAATCATTAAAAGTATAAAAATTAATTTTTTTTTATCAGTAAATTCAACTTATAACTTACAATTTTGTAGGAATAATTTGAAGGAGCTGGTGCAAGGATTTGTATTCAAAATTATGTTCTTTTTTTAATATTTTTAATTTTAAATATATAATTATTGCTTCTTTTACATGTGAGTAATCAAAATACAAACTAATTTAAAATTGTAATCATTCAAAATTAATGGTTTACACATTATCTCGTCAGTATGCAACAATTACGTTACAACCAAATTTAGAAAACACTGATTGTGACAGATTTTTAAACAAATTAGAGAAATAAGAAATGGCAATTTTAAAGCATCCGTTACATGCCAAACAATTAGGCAAAAGTAGGTGGTTGATTCATGGATAAGATTAAAGGATAAAAATTCAATAAAATATGATGTAACGGTTTTCAGAGAGAAATTATAATTATTTTGACTAAATGCTGGCTTATTATTATTAATTATTCCGCCAAGAATCATATATGGAGAGATTTTTTTAAATATTATGTAAAAATTATAGATAATTTTAATATATTTGTATTTTATTATTGTTAATAATAGTTAGAACTTATTTAGATAATGAAAAAATCATTTAACCAATTCTACAATCATCACAATGTGAGATATTCAAGTACATTTTTAATACAAAATTTTTTCCTGAATTCTTTTCATACAACCCTAATATATTTACAATAATAATTTGAAAATTAACTTTGTTTTTCAAATCTAGGACAATATCCTTCTTATATGTTGATAAGATTATGTAAATGGTAGATCTCATGAAAGTTGATTTTGATGGGGTTTGGTCAATTTTGTAGGTTTTTTTAAGCATCAAAGATTTATATAAACTTCCAAAAATTATTTTAAGAAATTTTGTATACTTAAAACTTATAACTATAAAAAAGACTAAAAAATCCATAAATAATCTCTTGTAATCTATATCTATATATGTATAATAAGAATTACCATTTACTAAAAATAGTAGCAAAAAGTTTAGAAAACATTTAACGCATGCCGTTTTTGGAAATTTTTTAAATATACACGTTTTGGAAATTTAGAAAACATTAATTGCTTACATATACACGTTTTCAAATAAGATCAAATAAGATATGATCAAAAAATTAAATACATTTATTAATATCTGCAATATTTGCATTGATATTTCTTATAATAAATTACAAGATTGATTTCCATAATCCATGTTGATAATTTTTTGGTCAAGATAAATATTATTTTGTTAATATTTCTAATACTTTCATTGATATTCATTATAATAAATTATAAGATTGATTTCCATGATTCATGCTGATAATATTTTGATCAAGATAAATATTACACCATATTTTAAGTTCTAACCATAATATAATTTTTCTTTTTTCACAAGTATTCACTTTTTATACAAAAATATTTATGGAAAATCGTACAGGTTAGGTAGAATTGTTTTTCCAAGTAATCTGACAAAATCAAGTTGGTGAATTAATCTTTGCCAATCTTTTTCTTAGGCTTTATTTTGTTAAATATAAAAAATAAATTGTTCTTCAAATTAATATAATTTACCATTTAAGAGATAATGACCATATACATTAAATATTTTTACTAATGGTAAAAAATTAAAATTCAAATATATTAACTATTTTTTAGAATTTATTTGTATATTATTGGCACCCATGATTATTTTTTTTCATTTATTTATTTTGATTTATTTCTATAGTTAAATTCTTGTAAAATAAATTTTCATTGCAGAGTATGCTAAATAAACTATAAATCCTTATAATGCGAATTAGAAAAATCTTGATCATAGAAGAGATTGAGTTTTTGGAAAATTTTAAATCAAATTTGTTTAATTAGTATACAAAATTAAATTCTAAAAAAACATGTGTATATTTTGTAAAATATTTACACACTATTTAATTTTAAATTTATTTATATATTTTAAATTGATTACATAAATAAATAACACTAATGTGCATTAAATATTTTTCATTACATAAAATAAAAAGAAAAAGAAGACGTACAACTTCCATAACTTTATAAATAATAATGACATTATATGACAACAAAGTTTATAATAAAATAATAATTAAGTATTATATGATGAACAAGAATAAGTAAAATTGTTATACTCTCTTGTATCAAGGAATAAATATATATATACTAAAATCAAATTTATATTAGTATAAATGTATTAGTGAGATAATATATTAATTATTTTACTACACTTAACGCTGATTAAGAGAGGTGGAAAATATATGACAACCCTGTTGCTTTATATACTTAAACGGACAAAAACTGTAAAAATAACTCATTTAATATGGATGTCCCGTGCATCGCACGGGGTACGTACTAGTTTTAGTGAAACATTAATCTATATAAAAGATCTTTAGACGAATTAAGGATCTTTTTAGTATGTTTAAAAGTACTTTAATATTAAAAGGCTATTCTTAGTTTTTATAACCAATTAATTTGAATTGAAATTTTACCAAATCAAAATACAAATAAACATTTGAGATAGTGTTTATGTGATATTACATATAAATATAGTTTGCAAATTTGGTTTCCAACCTTGGTGGAATATAATATTTAACTAGTTTGCAAAATTGGTTTCCAACTTTGGTGGAATATAATCTTTAATTATTTTTATTATAAATTTATAGTAACGAGAATTTTGGTGGAATATAATATCCAACAATTTTATTATAACA